CACGCACGATCTCCGCAGAGGGTTGCGCGCGGACCGCACCAATCGCACTCTCGCCTGCATTTCGCGCACTCGACATGCACGATCTCCGCGGAGGGTTGCATTTTCGGTTGACGCTGTTCGTCCCACCCTCCGCCTTTAAAAGAGAGAATTTACAAGGTGGGGAAATGTTTTTCATTAGGACATCTCCCGTGCAAGTTTTCCATACTCATACTTGCATACTTGTGCATACTTGCGCTGGGATTGCACTGGGATACTTGCATACATGCACTTGGATACTTACACTTGCATACTTACCCTTGGATGCTTTTGTTCAAGTGCAAGTGTGGAAGTGTCAGTGTGTAAGTGTAAGTGTCGAAGTGTCAGTGTTCAAAGAATTTTCCGGAAGAACCCTTCGCAATGCTTTCGGGAAAAAGAGCGAGTTATACATTTGCGCAGTCAATATATAAAGTGAATGAATAAATAGGTTGCCAGGATACGTTCGGTCCCTCAGCATAATATCCAGCAGATTCTCCCAAGAAGATCGGTTGCGCTGAAGACAAATCATGTTCGATTGCCACACAGGCTCCATTTCCACCACCTTCCAGTCCTGTGGTTCGTGCAAAAATTACCACTTTGCTTCCGCATCGCGTTTCAGAGTGTAGTGTTCAACTTCATCATCAGAAGAATGGCCACATCAACACACCCCAGTCAGCATGACCCAAAGAAAACTGTGGCGATGACACAGTGTCCTTCAACGGAAACACCAGGCCCCAAAGTTCCAGCTTGCTTCCCAGCTTGCTTCCCTGGCGCTCCCATGCATGTGTTTCATTTTCTGTTACAGTGACTCCGAAGTAAACTTCGAGGACGACTTCGAAGTTTGCATGAAGTCGAACAGCATCAGCCAGAAGTTTGCCTTCGAAAACAATCTATCTAATAGTTCGAATTTTGTTTATCAATTTATCTAGTAGATAGAACTTTTGGCCTGAGATTGTCTATTTTGACAGTTTTCCAAAAATAAGAAACCTATCTGTTTCTAGGAAATCGTTAATTCGAAAATAGAACGATTTTTAAGCTTCTAAATTAACTACCATAGTTAAAACAGAAAATAGTTAATATACAAAACCCTAACCAATAGTTAGAATGGTGTCTAAACAAGGATTTTGTCGATGAAGGTCTATTGGGTATTCTCCCTCTCCGACTTGGACTGGAGGTGTCCTGTTGCACTAAAGTGGCCAACTCGTTGGTTTGCCGTTGGATAGCCTTGGCGATGAATGTCATTTCTGACCCCAGTTCCCGCTTTCCTGTCCGGGTCATAGATGCCCGGCGGTGGCAATACGGCCAGCGTCCTTGCCTTGCTCACCGGAGTGGATGGAAGTGGACTCAACTTTGAAGATATAAGCCCAGGCGGCGGCCTTCGCAAAGAAGGCGAGTTCGATGTAGCGTCAACCACGCTCGAGTCAGATATAGCGCCACCTTCCCTGGGCCGCGACCTCTGATCTCCATGGATCGCTCTCTGGCAGGTCGTCCAGCACTTGGCATGCAAGTCACTCAGGCGGCGCGTGAAATTTAGAAAGACCTGGGCTCTTTAAGCTTAAACCTCACTGCAGCTCCGCTACCATACAAAGACAAACAATTGGAACGCTTGCCGATTTGTGTGTCTCTGACCGGCCCCTGCCCACCAAGTACGCGACGCTTTTTCCCATCTGGAGCCGGCGTGGAACGAGGCTCGAACTTGCGACACGCTCGGTCTTGTGCGCGACTCAAAGAAGCTAAAAAAACATGGCCCCATGACCCCATGACCACAGCGTTTACCGAATCCATCGAAAGCGTTTGACGTGTAGAGAGGGCATCCATGGTGTTGAAACTTCACACCGCCACCGCCATTGCGCGCCTCTTCCTACGTGCGTTTACCTAAAAACATTTCGAACTCGCCCAACTCATTGCCCCACATACAATTTTCTTGGTTGCCTCTTTTGCCATGTCTCCGGTTGAGTCAGGTGGCTAAACAGGGGTGGACCGAACCATTTGCTTGCAAAATAAACCAGATCTGAAGGGCCGCCACATGTACACATCTGTGTAATCTCAGCGCCCCTCATCTGCTTCCTTTGCTAGGTTTCACTGCGCTAGCGGCTTGGGTCACGGATAGCGAGAAAGTCAAACAAGTCGAAAAAGGTTGTCTGGCTGGTTAAAGATGATACCCAAGAGCTCAAAAACCTGAAAGAGCTAGGACATCTCCAACCCTTTGTGGCCAAGTGTGGGGCAAGGGTGTTTCACAGGTGTGTCTGTGTGATTGGATTGCGTGACGGCAAGGTGCTTGGATCGAATCAATCGACCCCACGAACTCACAAAGCAATGCGTGGCCGAGGATTTTTGGCAGGGGTGTGCGTTGTTGCGGCGGCGGTTCTTTGTTGCGGTAGCTGTCGTTTTTGTCACGCTTGTCATTGCCTCGTGGTGGCTAAATGTCGCAGCCCTTGTCGACAGGAAGGGTGGGTGTGCTGTAGTTGTGGCTAAAACGGACGTGGCCTAGCAAAAATGATGGGCGCCCAGCATCTGACTAGTATACGCAGGGTCCTTTGTCTATAGGGTACTCCTAAGTCCTTGATATATTTACAAAAAGGTACCCAGCATTCATAGCTACCTCAGACTTTGACAAAAACTGCCAGTTGGGTGGCCAAAATGGTGCCTGTCCTGGCCCTGGCCAAAAAGTTTAGGGCGGAGGATCTCCTTCTTCACTTGTTAAGGCCACGAAGTGTATAGAACTCTAGACTTGGGTTCTTTCAGACCTTATCTTGGCAAACGCTTGCAGCTTATCTGATACTGTCAGGCGGTCGTTTAATTTGACGAAAACCTATTGGGTAGAAGCTCACCAAATTGTTTGGTACATAGGGAATGGTGTCAAACCACATCAAGTTGGGACTCAGAAGCTCTTGTAGAAGTGGGGAATCGTGACATAGTTCACCGCTGAGTTGGCCACAGCGATTGCCAAGGGCATGGAAAGAAAGGTTGCCTTGTCCATCACTGCGCGGGCACCCCAACCATCGCCTGCCGTGATGAACAAAATGCACTTCCACGGTGAGCTTCTACAAGCCTTGGCAGTGAACAATTGCGATGAACCGTCATCGCTGCTAGATGATGTTGGCAGATACAAGCACCGGGCCATAACAATTGTGTCATAACATCTGTCCACAACATGCTTCTACTTGTATCCAATCTCAGCTTTCTATTCTGAAAATTACTATATTGTGGTCGGGCGCCTCTAACTTTTGCAACATTGACGCCGATTCAAAGTTGCTGAGGGACCGCGGCTCTCCAAAAGAAACCATCTGCGCAAAATACTTTGTAGCCTGGGTGGGATTTCAGGTACAAAAAAATGCGACTCGCGTTGCTTCAAGAGTATGCGCGCGCAGAAACCCTTTGGCCCAAAGGAGGCCCGACAAGAGGGTTGGACATGTTACTCTTGGCGCCTAGTTGCTATTGTTGACAATGGTCACTCCGCCGTCATCCCCAGTTTTGCTCCAGTAGACGAACGTGCTGGCGTTGTGAGTGAAGTGGCCAACCAGGTGACATGGAAGCACCATTGAAGTGTCCACATCTGAGACGTTGCCAAAATACACCCAAGGTTTGAACCACTGCGGGTGGTAGCTCTTGTAGTATTCGAGGGCTAAGCCTGTTTCGTTCTCAGCCTCTACTAAAATAGCTTTGGGAACGTACACGCCATCTGAGCCAGTGTATCCCATGCCACCCGCTTCGATTGGAATTTCCCCGTGGAATTCTTCTGCCAGCGCATAGTATCCTGCGTAGTACTGCCACCAAACTCACAAGAACGTTGCGCTTCGCGAGAATATGAAATAACGGTAAAACAACCACCGTGCGACGCACGTCGGGTGTCTCAGACTGTGTGACACTCTTGCAGGACACTGTAGAGTCAATCTTGTGTAGCGCGTAGCGCAGGCCACTCTTGCGCGGCCCTTTGGTTGTGGGGCGCTCTTGGGGTGTGGCACTCCTGCGCGACGCTCCCCTATAGCAACTTTTCACAGCTTTTGCGCGCGTTGACCTCGCGAACAGCTGCACCTGCGCAGCGTCATGCCTGCCGACCCGCTTGGACTTAGAAAGCCACCCCCTTGCTACCAGTATTTCACACAAATCGAACACTTCCTCCACACAGCAAAGAGCTCTTGCAAAAGCTTCCCAATGGGAAGCCATAGCTTGCGTCGCAAACAGTTGCGGTCTTGACAGCAAGCCTTTTGCGCGTGACTGGTGCCAGAAGTCAAACAAGTTAAAGGAGCACCTTTTGCCGCGCATTCGAGAACATGACCAGAGCAGCCGTGAAGAGACCGTGGCATCGTGACTCATACGGTCCAGAGCGCAACAGAATCAAGTCATCACCTGTTTTTGCCTACAATTCCAGACGTGCGCAAGGAGCACTAGACTGACTTGATGGTCTTAAATACTGTCTGGGAGCACACAGCCTGTTCGCGCCCAGGGTGCGGGGGAGGTTGACAGAGCACCTCTTCCCACACCAGCGCTGCGCCATGGTGGATTATGGAGAATTGTTGTTTGCCTGGTTTTGCGTCTTTCGGGAATCCTGTGGAGTGGGCGCTTCATCATGTTCCTTCAACTTTGGTTTCTTCTCTCAAGCAAATTTTGGAGAAGATTGCGCGGCATGGCCTCCTGATACTTTCGAAAATATTGCCCTCCTGCCGTGTGAAAAAGGATTCTTCCATGCAATGGATTGTTTGTGTCAAGAGCTACGGGTCCATGAAATCCGGAAAGTTTTTGTTGAATGAACTAATATGCTTACCAGCTGCACATAGAGCAAAAAAAATCACAAGTTTCACAAAGAGCACAACTTTACAAAAAAACAACTTTCACAACGCTATCAATGTCAAATCATCAGCATGAAGATGGATGGTCTGAGTGGATTCATGATAAGGCTTCCATCAAGTTTGCCAAAACTCCACAGTTTGGCACTGGTGACAAGAGGGTGTCCTTTTTGCGGCGACTCGAACAAAATGGGTCCGGTGGGAAGGACACCACCCGGCGCATGCGCAATTGTGTTCGGGAGTGTACCACTATATGCTCCAACAACAGGTGTCCACCGCGCAAAGGAATTTAGCTGAATGGAACCTCTTGCAACCTCGTTGGCTGATTCACGCTGATATGTTGCGATGCGATGCTCCAGTCCAGTGTCTTTGAGGCCGACTTTGGGGGTATATTCGTGACAAGAGTTTTCTCTTCAACCGTGACCCTGCGTGAAATCAGCTTCCTCTTTGACATGCTTCAACTGGCAGCGCCTGAGATTCTGTGGGCTTCCCCAGGAAGTTGGTCAGCTCGCGAGTGGAAGCACACCATTCCGGTTGAGCTTGCGAACCTCCGTGATGTTTACTTTCACTTTGTGGTGCCCATGTTGACGATTCGAACTTGGATTCTCGTTGAGATTCGGTTTATCAGGGCGAATTGCGAGTTCTATATCAGGGACCTGGTTTTGATCATCGCGCAACGTGCTGCCATACAAGCCGTTCTGGGAAGAACGGATCTGTAAATCCATCCTGAGAGCATTCGTCGAATCCCTGACTTTGTTGATACTCGTTTTGATGCGTGGAGGTTTTGCAATCATTCTTCTCTCGAATGGGTATGCCGCCGTTTTATGCGACGCAGGAAGAGAGGCATGTCTTGCCAAGGCAGCTGCAAGCAGATCAGTTGTTGAATGCGCTGGACTGCGCTCTGGATCAATGGAACCAGTCACATCTTTCTTAACGACATCAGCAGTTCGCTGTTGCGGCCAGAGCTGCCTTTCTGAATCATGCGCTGACCATTCCTAGTCGGGCAAGTGATATCGCTTTACGCGAGTTCAAGAGGATTGACATTCGTTGTCTCCGTTCAATGGCTCAATCGCCGAGAAGGGTTGCGCGCGCACTGTTCTGGGTGGGCTACTGATGCGATTACCTTCTTGCTTCAAACCCTGATGCTCTGTCCGCCGATTTTGATCAGAGGTATGCATGACCGAAACTTTCCGGTTGCATTGCCTGCGTGCGATCAGCAACAAATTTTTGTGGCTTTCAAGGATCAACGTTCTCGGGATTAAATCTGTGATCGAGCAGGCAAGAATGTGTCGGGCGACCTTTCTTCAGGCCGCGCCTGATGACCATGCTTTTTGGCACTCGATCGTGCCCATTGGCTACCAACCTGTGATCATCATTGACACTACCCCCAGTGTGCGTCTGATGTGTGAATGGGCTTTGTTATATCGGTGGATTGAGCAACTAAGTGACGACCCAAGTGATGTTTGTGCGCCGGCGTGCGCCGGCTGACAAACGATCGACCACGTGAGCCCAGCTGTTTTTATTTTGTGAGGCACGCCGTCGGGCGCAGATTGCCAACGGCGAGGTATCGCTACCCGGCGTGAGGTCCATGTACTGCGCTTGGGTGAGGGGACTTGCCTCCACCTGTCCCAATGCGCCAAGACTTGCGCTCCTCCCACGACTACTCTCATATCCATCGGGGAGAGACAAACTGTTGAACAACCTCCCATGTTGTAGACAAATTTTCAAGTTATCTGACCAGTGCCAATTCTACGGGAGGTGAAAAGGCTCTTCTTATCCTTGCTCTTCTTTCCTTCAAGAGGGTATATTAAATATATCGTGCATTGGGGTATTCTTTACTTTCATGAACACATTGTCCACAAATAGTTTGTATTCATGCTTGTGTGTATGTACGCACACACGGACACGCGCGCCGGCGCTCATGTCATATGGCTGGATGTCGTTCAAGGGAAGCACGACCAAAACTAAGGAGACTAAGGTGACTGAGGAGCCGAGTCGAAACCAAGGAGCCGAAGCTAATGGCCAGCTTCCACGTGCATCGAAGGATTGTAGCATTAGGTGGGGGTCTGGTTTCCGAGCCACGAATCTGAATGCCTCTCATCAGACTAAGGACCACCAACGAGCACCATTTGGAAACCTTAGTTTGGCCTGGCCCTGCCCCTGCTAAAGAATAAGACATAAGAATCTAGATTCTAGATGTAAAGATGATGCCGGCGCGCCTTTTTTCCTCTGTGTTAGATTCGAGGTGTTGCACTGGGGCGGGGGCGTCCGCCTAATTGGTTGCTGCTTGCAGTACTTTCATGCCTCTCGAAATACTCGAAGTGCATTTCAACCGCGCAGGCTCACAAAATCTGGTGGGCTGCGGCGGGCGCTTCTCGCGACTGCGCTCTCGTTGTGGCGCAGTGCGCATTTTCAGTCATGGTGGTCACTCTTCGTGGCAGGCGCAAGGGAAAGCTCGTGTTCTGGTGGCCCAAAGTCGACTGCGCAAGGGATCGGAACGGTTTTGCTTCAAAATGCAGATTTCATGGCAGGCGCAGCGCTTTGAATCTTCGACGCGCTCTGATTTCGTGACAGGTGAAGTGAATGGTGACCGGTCTACATGTGGTGGGTTTTCAGAAACCGTGGCAGGTGCAGTGCAGATTTCGTGGCAGGCCCAGCATTTTGAGCATTTTGTCAACCTGGAAGCGCAAAGTTCGTGGCAGGCACAGCACTTTGTGAACCTCCAAGTGCAGATTTCGTGGCAGGTGCAGCACTTTGTGAGCCTCGAAGCAGATCTCGTGGCAGGTGCAGTACTTTGCGGACCTTGAAGTGCAGATTTCGAAGCAGGCGCAGCTCTTTTGTGAACCTCGAAGTGCAAATTTCGTGGCAGGCGCAGCACTTTGTAAACCTCGAAGTGCAGATTTCGTGGCAGGTGCAGCGCTTTGTGAACCTCGAAGTGCAGATTTCGTGACAGGCACAGCGCTTTGTGAGCCTCGAAGTGCAGATTTCGTGACAGGCGCAGCACGTTGTGCTCTCAGATGACTCTCACTCTCAATCTCTCACTCACTCACTCACTCACTCTCTCTCTCTCTCTCACTCACGCTCTCACCCACCTCGGCCCCCCCCACCCGGAATCAACATGAATCAACCAACCAACCAACCGGTTGAACTGACAAATCAATTGCGAAGGCCGGGGATCCAACACTTGCTTTGCAAGACAAACTCAAGGAACCCCCGAGAGCTACCTGTTGGTTTTAATTTTGGTGTGCTTGAGCACTCCCCACCCGAAATTGATGTCCAAACCACTGGAATTCCTGGAAGATTGAACTATATAGGGCCCAAAAACGTCTGAAGGAGAGGGCGCTGGCAACAGATTGACAACTTTTCTGTCCTGCTTTATGTCCTTACCTCGTCTTAAAACCTCTTTGAGCAAGCGGAGCTAAAACATTCCGCAAGCCTACCATTGCTGTAATTATTGATGGGGCGGTCTGCCTCTCCGCCGCCTTTGCGCTTTTTTTTTCCCTTTGAACACATCCCCCCAATCACACTCAATGAGTGGAATAGACTCTGACGTATTTTTTGGTAGCGTAGAACTGTCTTTGTGCTGTAAGACCATTTTATATATTCCTCATCTTTTCCGGGCTTTTCCCTTAAGGACGGGGTGCCTCAACAATCTTCGCTGGCATCGCCAAATCATCGGCAACGAGATATTTGGAACTCAGGGGCTACCCGGTTACCCCTGATTATATAACTGTCTAGGGTTGGGCCCGACCCATCTAACTTCTGGATGGTGCGACAACACATGTGTTGATTTTCTTGTCACAACTTTAGCTTGGCAGCTCTCAGACATCATATGCAACTTTGCGTTGCGGTCTGTGCAGCCTCGGTCCACTGCATTCATGAATGTTGTGCAACCTATAAGAGCATAAATGCCGTCCAGAGTTGATGCAGGGCTGCGCGGATCAACATAGATGTTGTAGCCAAGCACTTCTTCAATCAGGATTTCGAAAACCGCGCTGGTCACATGGGCAGAGCTCCAGTCTGCAAGCACAACCCCTACAGGATAGGACTCCCCAGCCTTGGAGAGGTTCTTCCGAAACTCCGGATTCAAACCGCTGGGCAAGCACAGGCTGCTCGCCACTGTGCTTGCCACTAGGTCTTTCCCAGAGATCCAGTTTGAGAGAAGACACCACAATAGCACACGACGAAGACACTTCACGCTGCACATATTGGTGAAACTTTGGGTAAATAGCCAATACTTTCCAACTTCTCCAGTCAACATTTTGCGAAGCGCAAAAGCAGCCACAAATGTTGCACTGTTGCGAAGTAGTGGGACTAACTTGGAATGAAGATTCTGTACTATTTGCGCCTACTTGCACTCCCAAAGCTGACTTCTTGAGCTTAAATTGACTTAAATGCAATCCTCCTTTTCATAACGTTAATGACGTTAAACGCTGATGGCTAAAGCTTGGGATACTTACCTAATGGATGTCTGAAGTGAGATGTCAAGCTACTTGCCATGCTTTGAAACCCCGAGTTTCAGGTCAAAAAACATATGCTTGTGGCCCTCAATTGTACGATCAGATGCTGAAACCGCGGAGCCCCAGCATAGTCTTCACACCAAAACGGCCATCTCCAGCAATCAATTCAATCCAACAAGACTTGATAATTAGTCGCGCACCCTTTTGAAAGAGTCACGCGCAAGAGCACTGGCCAGTTTCAGCCATTGCGCAGCCATTGCAGGCCTCAGCTGTTTGTAGGCCTGCCCCTGCATTTCCCTGGGCCGGCAAGGTGCTCTCAACTGTGTGTCACAGAGAATCTGCATCCAATGGTGTTTGAAGGGCTGCGTGACATTGGTTTTGACTGCGCGTCTGGTGAGATAAAGCGCATACACTTGAGAAAAGGGCCCCAATGGGACAAACATTGGTTGCACGCGAAAGCAGGGCCTGCTGTGACAAGGGCAATGACACTGAACGATCGGGCGGTGTGAAGCCAGGTTTTAGGCTTGCGCAAGGTTGGCACTGGGCTCGCTATTTTTGTCTCCGAGCTTAAGCTAGGCCGTTCTTTCGCCAAGTATGCAAACCAGTGTACAAAAGACATGAAAGTGAACCATGTGCGGAAATGTGGACAAACTCATTGTTTTCCCGGCTTGCATCGCCTTTCCCTGGCCAGGGCAGCTAAGCTCAGAGTTACCAAAACAGTTGACAAGTCAGGCCACGGCAACTGAACCATGTCCATGCAGCGCGCCTCAAAATCACAAATCGCATTACACCACATCACCAACATTGCGCTTCACCAATCCAACCACCTAACAGTCACGACAACATTACCACATCACCTTGCCACATCATACATGGACAGCAAAACAACATACATACCTCACACCACCGCATCACACTTCACAGCATTCTTTCAAACTTTTGTCTACCCTTTCGTCTACCTGCCCAGCCGGAAACTCCAGCCCCCAACACTAAGCTTAGGCGCTTTGATCTGAAAACCCAAAAGGCAGCTTTTGTAAGATTGATAAAATAAACATGTTTCGATCAAAAAACGATGGGTGTCCTGAAACGTCGAACACATCCAAAGGAGGCAGGGACTGACCTTTGTATAAACGAAAGAATTCAGAGCAAGGGAGGACAACTGAGGGTAAGTTTTGCGTGAAAGCCATCCTTGATCAGCAAAAATTACATACATGCTCCTTTTAAAGGACCACTCACATACACCAATTCTATCTTTTTCAACGCCTCTCTCTCTCTCTATATATATAATTGTTGAAACATCTTTCAGATCTGTGTATTCTTTTGACCATGGTGGAGGTGTGGAGGCTTTGGCCAGAAGGTCCGGGATCAAATCATGCAGAATGAGGTGAGTGAATCTGAAGGGGGGATCAACCTTTTCATGAGGAGTGATATCGAAACTTAGATTAAATCTATTATGGCCCGGTCCAACTCTACAAAGGGAGCTGGCCAAGTAAGTTTGGCTAAGCGGCTATGCCAACAAGAGAGCTGGTATCACCAGCAACCCCAACTTACGTGAGGTGGCTCAATGAAGTGCAAAGCAAGTTCAAATTTTCAGCCTTGCTGCGCTCTGGACCACCTCTGTCAGGCATCCCAAATGTCCTAAACGATGGTGCTGACAAATGACAACCGCGCAAACCAAAGTTAATGAGGCTTGTCACGCAGCAAGCTCCTCGTAAACGAGTCTTCGCTTGTCATTGCTTGCGCCATCCTGAGGACTCGTCGAATCGGAGCAAAACAGCTGGAAAGCTGGAAGCGCCATGGTGTTAACAGTTTAGCTCCATTGGTTCCTCTTCCTTTTCGGAGCAAAACTTCTCACCTGTGGACAAGGCGAGCAATGCGCCCGGTACTCAAGCAAAGGCAAGCCATAGCATGCCCTGAAGCAAACTCTAGCGCCTTCGTATCTTTGCTCTGGCTCTGCTTTCTTTGCTGTCCTAAGAATCTACAGAAGCTGCTTTGAACGTTGCCGAAAGACACCCAACCGAAAAGGATTTAGATTTAACGGGCGCTTCGTTGCTTGAGATGCCTAAAACTAATTATGTACGTAGGTCCGAATGTCCTTCTGAGATTGGGCTTCTCTGAAGCCAAATTCAACACATTGCCACATCGTTGAGACTTGCATTGAGGCATATCCAAAAGCTGGTGACTCATGATCCTCGAGGTCCTTTCATCTCCAGATTCAGACCGCAAGCACCGTTCAGCGTGAACCTTGGCATCATCCTTGATTTCCTCTGCATGTTCCTGCAACATTGACATTGAGCCATCAATCATCAACAAGTCCTTCCCGGGCTGGCACTCTTTCGGCCTGCTTCCATTTTTCAACCTGCGCTACTAAGAGCCTCTGTCAGTGTAGTTCATTACAGGAAACATATTCGACATTCATTGGCTTTGAACCGCCTGCTGTTGCATTCGTCTTTCTTGAGAGATGACCGGATCGCTAGCATTGGTGTATTTATCCTGGCCGGACAGTGCCAAAAACAAGTTCCAAGTTCAAAGTATCGGGAAAATAAGTGTTCTGACAGTGAAACACACGTTTCTATTTGTCAGGCGCTTTTGAATGGACATAGAAGTCAGAGATGTGTCGGATAAAATTTAAAGGCAAGTCCAGGGATCGTCTTCAGCGCTGGTGGAAGTCGCAAGAACGACGCCGAATGAAACCACAGTAATCCTGAGGGCCTTGCCGTAGTGCTTCGACTGCAAATGATCTTATTGTTGCAGCATACATTCTTCATAGGCGCTTGTGCGTGAAAATGGTCCTATGTTGCTCCATCCGACCGTTCTTCATCTGACGTTTGCTTCGCAACATTTCAATTGTTGACCTCCGTGGATTCACGTTTGTTTCAATCTGAATATTTTGTGCTCACTATTGGAGCCTTGAGGGCCACTTCGTGGAAAACCACTTTTCGTGGGTCTGAACTTACGAAAACGGACAGGCGCGCCCATTGTATATTGATAGGAAAAACAACTGAATTCGTGTAAAACACCCTCAATCTTTCCCTCTACCACTTTCGACATTATCGTTTTTCTTCCTTATCGCTTTACAGCACTTTGACTGACTGCAACAAGTGTAGCGTAATGTAGTATACATGTGCCTGCGCTGCATGCATGTGGTGTGTGGAACCTTGCAAACATCAAAACATTAGACACAGTTCATCCCAGCTACACCCATGTGGCCTGCCTACGGAAGGGTGTTTTAGGTTCACTGTGCTATCGTTTTTGTTATCGTTGTCATGCCTGGTGCAAATTGGAAAACCCCTGTGGTGGCCTGCCAAGTTGGAACAGTAGGTCGTGTGTGCACGCATTTTCTTCACACCACTTCTGGCACGTCCAAGCTTTTCCACAAGAGTCATCGAGCGTTATCGTTTTTTCTTCCTTATCATTTTACAGGGGATTGAACAGTTCTGGCCCAAGCCTACCAGGGGTTGAACTGTTTCCCGCAGATTGGGCATGGCGTCTCTTGGAGTTCCGAAGCCAGTTGTTGGCTTGCCACTGGCGACAGTTCTGCAAAGGGTCGACGATGACCCTACGCATTTCATGTCGCCGTTGCTCGGTTGCAGTGCACACTGCATGGGGATGCCGGGCGATGGTAAGCTTTTCGCTGGATACCATCTAGATGTGCTCTCCGAGTTGCCACTTGTCCTCTCGGCAAAAGGAGATTCAGTTTTTCCACTTCACCACCCGGGTGATCGGAGTGGAAATGCTGTAGTAGACCTCTTTGCAGGGTCTGGGGCGATGGGAGTGGCCTTAGAAGCTCTTGGCTACAAAGTGATGGTTTCGGTAGATTCTTGCTATTTGTGCTGTGATCACTTGGCAAAAAATGGAAGGGGGTATGTCTTTCAAGGTGATGTTTGCTGCCCTACCACCTTCAAGGGTCCATGAGATTTTGTGCAACGCAAACATCAGAGACTTTGTCATGATTGGCGGCTTCCCATGCCAGCCAGTCTCCTCCCAAGGGAGGATGATGGAAGAAGAGGACCCTAGGTTCAACGCCTTCCTTGGACTGATGAATGCCACTCGACTGTTGCAGCCTCGAGCTTTGATGGTCGAGTGCGTACCTAATGCTGGAAGGAACGCGCTGATCCAAAGCCACTTGGCCTCCTTATGCAACGACATGCATTGGGGTCTCCGTCAATTGACTTTTGACTTGAAGGACCAATGGCCAATGTCGCGAAACAGATGGTATTGCATCGTGTCTGATGAAAGTTTTCTTCCTCCCACACTCCCTCGATGGAACATTATGACAGAAGGCAACACCGTGGGGGACATTTTGGGCTGCTTCCTCCCTTCCGACTTCCCAGGGATTGAGCAACTGTTTGTCACTTCACGGGAACTTTCATTTTACCAGGAGCCTGCATTTGGTGCAGACAATAGGAAGCTGGAATTGCATCATGTTTGCAATACAATTCTGCGCTCGTATGGTTCCCCGCTGGACAAATGCCCTTGCGGCTGCAGAGGGATGGGATTTGCTGAGGCCACACTTGTTGCTAAGGGGCTCAGGGGCTTCTATGTAAGCTCGCCCTCATGGCAGCCCCACTGCAGGTGATTTGGGTTTTCAGCAACTTCCTCCACGCAGCCTCAAGTTCAGCAAGTGATGTGGTCCCACTGCACCCACAGCTGATTCTTGAGGAATATAAAGCACAGATCCGTATGGTACTTTGCCAAAGTCCACACAGGAGGCAAAAGTTTCTCTGGGCGTCAGCTACGTACTGGTCCCTCAGTCATTTGCGAAGCATCTCCAGACACTTCCTTGGCCTCCATGGTCAAAGCAGAACGATTTCATCAAGAATGGGGGACTTCCATTCAACTCACAGTTGAACAGCAGCCGTTCCCTCCAGACATGTCTTTGCAAGCTTTCGCAGGAACAGCTGTCCAGATGCAGCACATCGACAAGAAGCGAAAGACACAGCACCCAGAAGGACTCCTTGTCCTGCAGATTAAGCAAGCACCAGCACAGCACATTGCAATCAAGCCGAAAGGGTCCTTCCTCTTTGAATTCTTAGATGACACACCAGTGTGCAGGCCAGCCATTGTGACGGACGCAACAGGCACTCCAGTTCCTCTTGACACCAGACTTTGGTTCCCACAAACACTCTCAGCAGTCGACCAGGGAACTGTACACCATGTTTCCCACCGAGGATTGGGGCCGAGCACAAGCACTACATTGTGCCCCTATTCCATGGGGAAGGAAAGACAGAATATGGCACTGGAGGCCTCACAGAGTATCGAACGACTCTGTAAGTCTTCTTCCGCAGAGGCTATCCCAACTTCATCTTCGCGTGACTCCTATGCGGTTTCACCCTCAGTGATTTCTCCTGACAGTACGATGGTCTTGCCCCATCAGGCAAATAGGTTACCAGTTCCTTCCCCATCTGGTTCAGAGCCTTCCTTTTGGTGGGTGATGTTCTCCTTCTACAGGCGCGCTAATCGCCAGGTTGAATGAATCCAATCGTCAGTCTCGTGGTCTGGAGAATCTGTATCCCATCTGGGCGCTTCCGTTCCCTGGGCCTGAAACAAACATGTCAGTCGTCGCGCCCCTTAATCCGTCGGGTCTCTGACCCAACGTTGCAAACCTCTGCGCAGAGTACCAGCTGCTTGAGCTCGATCTTGTTCTGGGTGTCTGGCCCTGTCACTCCCCCATTGCGAAGCTGCGCGCTGGACGCCCGGTTTCCATAGAGATGCGCAGAGTGCGCAGCCAAATTCCATCATGCGTCCAGTGAAGACTCGGCTCCGGAAAGCGGTTTCGCTGGAGTTCCTTTCTGGGCATGGAGGTTCCACAGGCCCACCAGCTTCTTGACATAATTTATGTAATTGTCATTGACCCCCGCCCGCCTGAAGGAACAAGCGTCTTCACATATTCCATAGCCCTTGCAGCTTGTGCTGCGCGGGGTGTTCTTGCTTCCTGAGGCTGCCCAGCAGCTTCTCCACATCTGGTTGGCTTCCAGCCAACAGCAGGTCGTCAACATGTAGACGCACTGTTCGACCCAACTTAGTAGAAGAAGAGTGCAGGATTCGGAGGGTAGGCCTTGGGAACCAAGCTCAAAGTACTCGCCGTTGCGCTTGTGACCTTTCACCCGCCCACTTTCCAACTTCTTCTTGGCTCGGCTGCGCCAGCTGCCCAGCGGAGCAAATTTTCTATGTCTGAAAAGAGAAACCTTCTAACCTCTTCGAACTATTCTGATCAACTTCTTGATCTCCTCGCTCAGCCAAATTTGCAAGTCTCCTCCTTCACAAGCCATCCCAGTTGGGCGTTAGGAACCTCATCTGCCTCCAAGCCCACTTGCGGCGCTCATCAACTTCTGTATCCCAGTCCACCGTCTGACGGTCAAGTTGAACTCTTCCTGTAGCCCAGTCTGCCCCGCATCCTTAATACCAGACCGTCCGGAGGTTCAGTTGGACTGGAGTGTATGGCGTAGTGCGTGGCGTATTCTCCGGCATGCAAAGGAGAGAAGTTGCGGTTGAGCGTCGTCCTCTGGGGGTCTTCAGCAAGTTTTATCGTTGAGGCGCTCCTCGTCAATGCCAGCCAGAACGCCAATTAGCTTGTGTTCGGGATGCTCCTCCACCAAAGCGCTCCATGCGCCATGACTGTCGCTCATAGAGTCCCTGGCGCCGTGCCTTTACTGCATTTGTTGAGCGCGCTAGCTGTGCGCACAGTCTATCGCGCAAAAAGCACACGCCTTTTGCATTGCGCTGGAGTTTGTCTTGGCGCTTGCTGCTTCCTTTGCCCTTGCCTTTCATGGTGGGAGTACTGTAGCCTTTGCTCTTGCTGCCGTCGCCCTTCCCTGTAATAAGCCTTTCTTTCCCTTTCCGACTGCAGGTGGCATACTTCGTCGAAGCATCGCGTTTAGCCGCAATGAGATTGATATTTTCTCACACCTGATGCCTCACGACTCCTGTCCCCAACCTTGGGCTCTTTGGAGCAAGGAACCGAAAGTTCACTCGAGCCTTGGTGGCCTCAGTTAAAGGATCTGTTTATCTCGACATGCTGATGTACACATGGAGGTACGCATGGCATGTGATCTTGAATGTAAAGACTTACAATTTCAGTAGATACCCTTTCCACATGTAGGTACCTTTGTACGGTGGATACCCACGCTTGTTCCATGTGTTTTTGGGAAACTAGCAGCACACTTCGTAGACGCAGGAGCAGGAGCATTCATTCATCAATTCTGTTTCTGCTTCTCTCAAAACATTTGCAGTCCTTCGTAAAGCTGGGGTGGGTTGCGCTTGCGTCAACGCTCATGATGTGTGTAACCCGTGGAGTCACAGGGATCTGTTTGGATTTTAGAGCATGGGGGCAACGGCCAGTCTTCTTACGTTGCCCAACGAAGCTACAGAAGACTGGTGGAAGCATTCAGGGGCGCCTGAATGTGTACCTGCATCAATTTTAAGATTTCTTGTGTACTGCATACCTGCGCGCTACGTCGTCATTTGTCGCCTCGGGATCGGCTTGAGCTTTTGGCCCCACTTCCAAATTTGAGGACCCCCAGGTTTCTTTGGTTTCACTTGATCTGGTCAGGATTTGGGTACCCAGGTTGGCGTGTGGCCTTTCAAGTCAGTACGCGCACAGGGTGACCCCGAGGAGTGGCCCCTGTGGACTCGTCGAACGGGGTTTGTCGTTGTTTCCCTTGCTTTGGAAACTCACGTGCCCACAGCGGGCGGAGTAAGCTTGCGCCAAAGTTATTTGCCAATACTTGATGGATTCTTGAATTCTAGGCTGGCCGCCCTCGGGCGCGCCGTTAGGTGACCAAACCGGTCTCAAGTCGCTTGCCATTTTGGCATGGCACAAGGAAGCATTTGGAGGTTCGCTGGAACTTGTCGGGGCCTTAACTCCCTACCCTCCCCCTCTTCCTTCTTTTCTTTTTGGGGTGTTCCTGAATGTAACACTCAGGTACACCCCTCTCACTGGTGTGTCCCTGCACGCTTGCTCGTAGCTGGGAACACCTGTCCACTTCTCTTTTCCCTCCCTCTCTCTCTCTTTGTCTCTTTCCTTTCTTTCCCCTCCTTATTGTTTGGGTGCCCCTGGGTACTTTCGTCATAGCTGGGAACCCTTCTCTTTTTCTCTTGGTGTGTCCTTGGACGCTTGTGTCGTAGCTGGGAACTCCTTCATTTGCTTTTGTTCCTTTTCCTTCTTTTCTTCTCTGGTTTCATCGGTTTCTGTCCCCTTCATTTGGTACCCCCTTTTTCAGCCTGTTTTCCCCTTCACACAACTTGTTCTCCTCTTTTCTTTCATGTCTCCCTGTCTTCATGTCTTGTCACCTCATCCTTTCATTCGTTTGCGCACACTTCGGTCCTGGCCTTAGTGTGTACATGCACTTGTACTTTAAGCCCAGGTTTCAGGTCGCCCAGGTTTGACAATTAGGTGGGGTTCATCGGTTGTCCCTGTGCACTTGGTTCCCTTTCATCGCAGCCACGCGCACTTTTGTCCTGTCTTTGCCTCTCTTCATGTCTTCATCTTTTTGTCTTTGCTGCGCGCACACGTGCACATTCGTCCTAACCTTAGGTTTTCTCGCCTCCCCTCGGGGAGGCGTGTGTGTGTGTAGCCCTTGGAGTCACAGGGATCTGTTTGGATTTTAGAGCACGGGGGCAACGGCCAGTCTTCTTACGTTGCCCAACGAAGCTACAGAAGACTGGTGGAAGCATTCAGGGGCGCCTGAATGTGTACCTGCATCAATTTTAAGATTTCTTGTGTACTGCATACCTGCGCGCTACGTCGTCATTTGTCGCCTCGGGATCGGCTTGAGCTTTTGGCCCCACTTCCAAATTTGAGGACCCCCAGGCTTCTTTGGTTTCACTTGATCTGGTCAGGATTTGGGTACCCAAGTTGGCGTGTGGCCTTTCAAGTCAGTATGCATTTCTATAAGTGTCTGTGAGCCTACATTCGTTCCTGATTCAAACACTCAACAAACCTAACGCGCAACTTGCTGCAAAGTTGAAGCTTGGTGGATCAGCGGTGCCAGCCTCATCTCTCATGGAGTCCCTTTCGCGCTTTTCGCGTCTCACATTGTCTACCATGTCCTGCAAATTAAGATGGGGCAGTAAACATGAGATGACATGAGGCATTTTGCTTCAACCAACTTCTCCCCCATGCTTTTGCAACCAACTTCTTCTTCTTCTGCTATTTGTCACCCACATTCACCTCTCAACATCCTACTCTGACCCCTCCCCTGTGCGCGCCGCTGAGGTACTGGGGCCAACACACTTGATTTGCGCACTGATTGAGCTAAGGCAAAAAGCTAGTCCCTCTGACGCTTGGTCTGTGAACTTGGATGGAAAACTGTCTGGAAACATCTGCAGTTCGTACTAGTCCTGAAAAGCTTTCATGTTGCGCTCATGTTGGGCGTTCTCCTCCTGGGAAGGCAAGATTGGTTTGACTGTTCACGTGTCTGATGCAGCGCGATACCATACCTTGCAAATAGCAGAACAACGAAAAACCTTTGCCTCCTTTATGCGGCGCCTCTCAGCACGCTCTTCTTCTAGTCCTGTTAAGTTCTGCAAGAACAACTTAAGGGCCCTGAACACACCTGTCACAACCAATCCCGCCTCCTCGATTGAACGCTTCAGCTGCTCTTCTGTCCTATGCAACAAGAGAAACCTTCCGGCGCAACTTTGAATGTGTATATATATATATATTGCGTCTGTTCAGGCTCGCCTCTGGGAAAACAGGTCGGTCATCCAAATACCTGCAAATGAAAACTCCAACCACCCCGCATTGATTTGACTTGCAAGTTTTGAACAACTCCTGTCAGCTCCTCAAATTAGCAAAGAACATCTCGACTAGAGATCTCCGAATTGCGAGCAGTTGCAGTTCGGAAGTAGACAAGCAGTCAGAGGGAAAAGCAGTAGACCTGTAAAGCCACCGTCGCAGGAATTGTGCGTTTCATTGTCAGGGCTGAGGAGGGTGTTTGGGAGATATTTTGTGTGGCAGGTTGGTCCAAAGGGAAACGGAATCAGGGAATTCAGAACGCGTTGTCTGAGCTGCAGAAGGGTGACAGCTTCTAGAGGGAAATAGCTGCAAACATAGTTTTGTTGCAAGAAGTCGCCGGGCTAGCAGTGATTTCCAAACACATGTAGCTAAATGTCTTGAAACACAAGTAGGGGTTTCTAGGGAACAGGAGCCACAAGTATGGGGTTCAAAGATTCTAGACAGGTCACCAAACAGTTTTCCGGCTTTTGGGGCAACCAAAAAACTTGAGCAAAAGCTCTGCAATGCATTGTGCGTCCAAGCCGTGGTGCTGGCAGCAGCAAAACAATCGCGCAACGAAAAGGACATTGCCGCAGCACTGAGGACAACATACCCGGACAACCTCTACCAGGCGGCTCAATCCAACGCACTGCAAGTGGAAGCAGGTGATGAGCCCACGGAGGATGACATGGGTCCCGAGGACGACACGTTCGATGATGAAGTGGAAGAACAGGATGCGGTAGATGCCCTCCTCAGATGGAAGCAAACACGTGCAGGAATCAACCAAACCAAGATGGCAAGGGGCTTCGGAGTTGGAAAGGACTTCAAACGCCTTGCAATCAAGTTGGACATTTCAGTCGAAACTGTCCCAAGAAAGGCAAGGGATCATCGAAAGGCCAGTCCAAAGAGTCCGGAGTGCGTCCAAGGTGAGCTTGCCGTTGATGGTATGGCGAAATGTATCGAAATGTGTTGTTTGAGCGTGAAATGATCATGAGCGACACCGGCTACACACGTATGTCCATCGCAATGAGACAGGAGGGATGGTGATGACCTACAACTCCCCTCCAAACCGAGAGCGACCACTAACTGGCATGTGCAGGGAGCCCAGGTGATTCCGGAACATGTGCTCCCGGGACGGCAGCTTTTCACCCCAGCTTCCAGATGCCGGGTTCCATTGAGAGACCTGTGTGAGGCACGTATTACTGTACCAGGCCAACCAGATCCAATGGGAATACAACCGTGATGTTTGCTCCCAATTCAAAACACCGAGGTGAAGCGCACAAGAAGTTGGACTATGAATGGCCAGACAATCTTCTACCTGAGAGAGGCGGAGGTTGAACCTTTGGACGAAGAGATTGCTGCGCTAAGACGAGTTGGGAAAGGCTCAGGAAGAAATCCTGGCGGTGACGCCAGATGGGTTTTGGGAGGAGGAAGAGACAGAGACGACAGTAGCCTTGGTTCATGAAGCAGGGCGAGGACTAGTCGATTCCCGCTGTGGCCAGGGACTGGTCGGGGAGGTGACCTTGCGGCGACACGAGGCTTTGGCCAAGTTTGACCTGACCATCAAGGATCTTCCTCATCGCCCTCATTCCTTCCGATACGGGAACGGAACAGCAGATACCTCCATTCGCACAGTCCAAATGCCTATCTTTCTGGCAAGCATCAAAGTGTGGCTGCGACTTCATGCGGTGAAGGAGTCAGCACCTTTATATATACTGATAAGCGCTTCTTGAGGCCCTTGGAGCAGTCATTCATCTCCAAAAGAGTGAGCTGTTGCTGGCGAAGGCTAATATGTGGCTGTACCGCGATCAACCTGTTGGACCTGCAACAGCCCGCGATCAGGACGTGGAGGTGGTGAACTTCCTCGGGTGAAAAGAGCGACGAGGAAGATGGAAGAAGAGTATACAATCGATCCTGGTCGCATTGGGTCGGAGGAGAGACCACTTGGGGAGACGGAGATCGATGAGGGCACCATCAACAATCCGGATGAGGTCATGGCAACAGTGCCGGAAGAGGAGAATGAGAAGTATGAAGAAGAGATGGAAGAGGATGCCCTATAACCGAGGGCAAATGATGAGATTGGAAAGAACGATATGAAAAAGAAACCGAGGAAGCAGCTTCGATCAAGGATGACGACCAGGACAATTGTACGGGCAGTCAGCCGGCAGAAGAGCATTGGCAGAGTGCTCTGGCTTGGAAGAAGGCTCATGAACGGAAGGCGCTGCAGAAAATCATGTCCGAAGTGCTCCAAACGCAGGGGCCATGATGTGTTGAGACCTTCTGCCCAGGACGTTCAATGAAAAGGCACAGAATTTCGGGGTGTGTGGAGCACGAACTTTTGACCTGAGATTGGAGGCACGCTGAAGATCGCAAGGAAGTGTGTCCTCGAGGACCCAAACATTACGGTTATGAGTCCCCCATAAGGTTCTTTGCCAAGGTTGCAGAACTCCACACCACCATGGAGGCGCCAAACCTCGAGCGTTTCAAGAGAGAGGTGATTGAAGCAAAGGCAACGCTGACGTGGTGCATTCGTATTGCCAGAGACTGGATGCGCAAAGGAAGGCTCCCTGTGTTTGAAACGTGATCATCATGTGCCTCCTGCAAAAAAACCTTGCCTACAAGAGCTGATGGCACATGATGATTGCTATCGTGTTGATGTGCAAGCGTGCTCAGTGGGCCTCCGAGTAAACCTCCAATGCTCCAGGAGTGGTATCGATGCTGGACCGACTCAAGTGCAGCAGCGATCATCCACATCAGGCCGCGGAAGGCCGATCGGGCGGATAGATGAGGTCCATTCAAACACCAATCTATCTGGGCAGACTGATCAATGTTATCCTGGGCGAGTTCGCATGTAATGAACAGTATGAATCTTTGATGGTCTTTGTGCTATCCTGCTATCCCATCAGTCAGGCCGATGTGCAATTAGAGGAAGGGGAACTGAAGAAAGAATTTGGAACGTCTAAAATGCAATTCAAAAGATGCATGTCAATCTAGGGGTGGATATGTTTTCTGTTATTTATTTTTCCTGGGAATATTGTTCACATGTTTTTTCTGGGAGTGCTTTACAAGCATCAGGAACAGCCGAAGGGTCAGGAGAAAAAGCAGCAAAGCCACCGAGAGGGAGAGAGCGAGACAATGACAAAGGGAGGGACCAGAAAAGGCATCCAACTGGATGAAAGAGAAGTAGCAGTGAGGAAAGAGGAAAGAGGAACTAAGGACTTCTTTGTGGGTGTCTTCGGGTTTCACTGGTTTCGAGTTTCCTTGCGTTCGGTTTCTTGTTTTTAGGGTTTCTTTGGATGTTTTTCCGGCTTCACTTCTATTGAGGGTTCTTCGGCTTTCCATACATTTTTATATGTGTACAATAACAATATATATATATAGCGCGAAAAGAGAGAGAAATACGAAGGAGAAGGAACAGTGAGGAAAGGGGAGAGAGGAACTGTCGGAGGGACTTCTTTGCGGTTGTCTTCTGGTGTCACTTGTTTCGGTTTTCTTTGGGTTTGGTTTCTTGTCTTTAGCCCTTTTTTGGGGTGTCTTCCTCCTCTAAACTTTGCTTTCGGATGGTTCACAACACCTTCACTACATTGGAACGCATCCTCCTTCCTCTAAATGTCACCCTAGAGTGGTTCCTAAAAAGTCTGCTAACTTGGAATCGATGCTGCCTTCTCTAAACTGTATCTTCGGCTGGCTTACCAAATCTATGCTACAGTGGACTGCCTCCTTCCTCGTCTAAATCTAAACCTCGAGTGGTTCAGAAAAAGTCTGCTACCTTGGAATGGCATCTTCTATATTTTACCCGTGCTTGGCTCACAAAATGCCTGAAAGGTTGGAACGGCTCTTTCCTCGTCTAAGTTTTCGCATCGGGTGGCTCACAAAAGGCTCCTCGTTCCTCGAAATTCTGGGTTCGTATGGCCTACAAAAGGTGGAGCGGCAGCTTCCTCCTCAACATTTTACCCTGGGGTGGCTTAGACAAGGTCTGCTACGTTGGAACGGTATCTTCCTGTCTAAATTTTGCCCTCAGGTAGCTCTCAAAAAGGAGAGAGGAACTTTCAAAGGGACTTCTTTGCGGTTGTCTTCGGGTTTCACTTATTTCGGTTTTCTTTGGGTTTGGTTTCTTGTCTTTCGCCTTTTGTTGGGGTGTCTTCCTCAAATTCTACTTTCGGGTGGTTCACAACACCTTTGCTGCATTGGAATGTGTCCTTCCTCCTCTAAATGTCAACCTGGAGTGGCTCGTAAAAGGTCTGCTACCTTGGAATGGCATCATCTAAAATTTACCCTTGCTTGGCTCACAAAATGCCTGAAACGTTGGAACGGCAGTTTCTTCCTCTAAATTTTGCCCTCGGGTGGCTCTCAAAGGGTCGGCTATGTTGCAACCAGCTTCCTCCTCTACATGCTACCCTGGGCTGCTACGTTGGCACCTACCTACCTACCTACCTACCTACCTTCTTCCTTAAAATTTGACTCTTGGGCGGCTCATATAGTGTGAGCTACGTTGGAATGGGGCCATTTGCAGCAGCATAGGGTCTGTACTGCAAACAGCACTGCGTTGGAAGCTGGCCACTTGCAGCAACACACGCTCATTAGAGCCTGGCCACTGCAAGCAGCACAGTTTTGGAAGCTGGCCACTTGCAGCAGCACAGGCTCTTTACGGCAAGCAGCGCAGTATTCAAAGCTGGCGGCCGGAGAGACCTTGAGATGGTGAGAAGTCTTGAGTGCGACCTTGGCTCAGGAACCAGCCTAAAGCAGTCCGGGACAGCACGGTCGATACATTGGTCTCGATGAGAAATGGTGAACAACTGGAAACCTGATATCCCTCAACATTGTCTGTTGAGCATCTGGTTTTCAGCAAATGTACAGTCCCCCATTTCGAGAAATTCAGCACTGCTAGTGCAGCTGTACAGAATGTGGAGAAGCTCGTTCCTATACAGTGGATCGCCTTAAGCTGTACTCGACCTTGATCCAACATAGATTTTGTGGTGTGTAGTTTTGACTTGATTG